CCACCTCTCCACAGCTGCACCTGACCTAGGCGCTGCCTTCAGGTACCCGCGGCGTGGAAGCAAGGTCAGGCAGGAGCTTATAAAGGAGAGGTCTTCTGATGAGAGGATTAGCAACAGGTGTGCAGGAAGGTTCCAGCTCCAGAAGACCCACGGCGCACTCTGCTGGAGACAGAGGGTAATCTCCAGATCCCCACAGTACCTCCAGCCCTAAGGGAAAATAGCAAAGAGCAGAAGGGGATCCTCGGCGCCCTCTGGTGGGCAAGCCTGAGGATCCCAACAATATTTTTGTTTTTCTTTTTTTTCAGTTTCTTGCCATTTGATTCACTGATGATTCAATGATTCTACCCTTTTCTTTAACCGGAGTGTGTCTAAACTTTCGAGCTAAACTGTATACGTTAATTTTGTTAAATACAATCTTTTTTATGATTGCCAGTCCACAGAGGAAGAGATGTACAAGGGGAAGGAGGGAAGAAACGTCAGTGCAAAGAGGACGTTCAAGACAAGACAGGTAAAAAAACAAACAGTATAGTTGCATGCCGAACAGTAGTTGTTAAGCTGACAAATGAAAACATTCTATTCAAAAGACAACTTTACATATATCATGGAAGATATTTGATGAATGCTTTCCAGAAACACCCATACACTTAACATATTGGAACACTTTCTAAATAAGACGTGTGTTACATTTTACTGATCATCTATATGCTTTGCTATTTCCTTTATTTTACTAAACAAGAAGGAGAAGAACAGGGAGATGGGACAGAGTAGAGCAGGGGAAGAGAGCAAGCAGTAGATTCATATCCAGAGGCTGTGTCCTCCGAAGGCCAGATTCGTCAGTTGATTCCATTATATCGAGGCACCATGGTGTGTTCTCATTCAAGGACTTCTTCATATTTAGCCGACAAATGCAGCCTTCTTTCCCCCTGGTTGCAACGACAGGTCCGGTGTATCCTTTGTAGCCTTAGGTATCCCATGATTCCCCATTTTGCCATGAGGAAAAAGGGAAATGGTGCCGAAGAGTGGTGAATATTGTAAGTGCTGTTTAATATAATACAAGTATGTGAATAGTTTCATCTTAAATTTATGAAAATAGTTCATATAAATGGTGCTCCTTTTCACGACCTTCAAAAGACCCAGTCCAGGTAGGCCGAGTCCTCCGGATGATGCAGCCCTTATTTAAACACACCTGTCATGATCAATTTAAGAGATCTGACCAACATGCAAAGAACCACTCAGAGAATCAAGGGAAAAGTTTCACAGGTTTATTTAGGAGACTGTACAGAAGTTGAATCTGGAACTCGGAGAACTGGTGAACCGGAACTGGAAAGTCTGGAGAGGAGATCACAGTGATCAGTTCACAGCCCACTGCTAAAATAATCCTCCAGATAATGATCCAACGATCCGCAGGTGTGCAGGAGGGCAAACGGGGACAGGGCACCACCTGGTGGTGGAGGGAGAAAAACACACAAACAACCAAAAAAACTGACCACACCAACTGGATTCCTAACAACACCAAGAGCAGTATACCAACCACCAAGCTAAAGGATCTCAAAATCTGTCTTTTGATTTAGGGGATAAGACAACTGGTCCTAAACAGTTTAAACTGTTCTAGTTCTCACTCACTCACGTTGCTCCACAAAAAAGCACCTCTCATGAAAACTGGTTAAAAAGGTCAGGCATATAAGGTGGACACTTGTTCATATCTTGAGGTAAAAGATGCAGCAGGGAACTGAGGCTGAGGTCTCAACAGGTGGGAACAGAGTACACTTAGGTATAAGAATTAAAGGCTTTACTTTACTGATAATTTTGCATCCTTCTTCCATTAATGCTTATGTTGTGTACTGTAAACCCACTCTGATTGTATCTTCTTGTCACTGGTTGTTCAAATTTCCAAAAAGTTTAATGTCTTTGTTTTCAGGTTTATTTCTTCTCTGCTACATAGTTTCTTCATTTGTGTTCATCCTTTATTTCTTTTGTTGTTTGGTATTTGAGCAAATGGGTATAGCTTTGAATAATTTTGAGAAAGTGTGTTTGAAATATTTACTACATTTTTACTATTCCAACAAACCAGTTCCAGTGTTAATGCATTGAGAAGCTCCATTAGCACAAAGTCTTTCTGCTTTACTCCCAAACAATATCTATGTAATAAAAATATGTTATTTGCAACTTTTACCTCTGAGCTGAGGGAAATATTATGTGAGCTAATTTGCAAAACTAGGCACACAAAGAAGTTTTGAAGAGAAGAAACAAATCTCTCATGAAATGCATGAATACAGTTTAAGAAATGCTAAATAGTTGCTTCTGAAACTAAAGCATAGAACTGCTAATGGATGAAACTCTAAGCATACCAGGAAGCCTGTACCTGATCTGGAGTAAGAAGGTGTAGAGCTGATGAATCAGTACCTAAGAAATATAAACAGAAAAATAGAAGGCTTTGAAAATTAAATGCAACAACATTTGATTCTCAAATGTTGCAAAGACTGTTACATTGTTTTGGTAGCTGTGAAGCTAAGCTGGTATTTTATTCACTATTACCTTTACTGCATCAGCAAGTCTCCAGGTTTAGAGGTGATAGTTGGAGTGACCTATAAGCATAATCTCAAAGATCCAAACAGTGAGGTTTGCTCTAGTGGCTGGCATCCTCAGCATCTACACTTAATACAAAAAATACACTTAAAAGACTACCAGCAATTCACATACAAAACACTTTGAGGGTGGTCTGTACTTATATGGCACTCCAAAACACTGCATCCAGTCAGTCATTCACACTATAATTGTGGCAAATTACATTATAGTCACAGCTGCCCTAGGGCGTACAGACAACAGGTTTCCATACACAGGCACCACCATCAGTAGGCAATTTGGGTTGATGTATCTCGACCAACTGAAAAAAATAGAACCGGTGTTCAAATCAGTGACCCTCCGGCTGCAGGACAACCTTGTGAATCCAACACCACTGTCACCCAAAAGTTTGCTTTACTGATCCACCAAACTGCAGCTCCAGCTTATGACTAAAAATTCTGCTTCAGCTGTGCCTCAAATTTTTGATGTTTGGAACTCCTCTTTCAAAGACCTGAGAATGTGTAAAAACAAAAAGTTATCTTTCCTTCTGATTATATGGTTATGAGATTAAAGAAACTTTGAGCGTCTTTGCAGACAGTCTTGTGTACTGTTATAATGAGGAGACACAGACAACAAGAAAGTCATCATATCCTTATTATCTGGATCTAGATCTGCTGAAATTGGTTTAAGGTCTCATTTATTAAACACAAAACAGAGCCTGAAACTCACATATGCCACTTACTATGCAAAAGTCGTGCTTTATCAAAAACACACTTGGTGGGGAAATGCTTTGCGCCTCAGAGGCTCAAAAAATTATTTTGATTTAGGTACATTGCAGGCTGCTTTACCAGCTGCTTTTAATACAATCCTTTAAATAGAGTCACTAGTTTAACTCTAGCCTTTCTAGGCCACTACATAGGTCAGGGATTTTCAACCCTGCTCTTGAAGGCACACTAGATTCTACTTTTCTTTAAAGCACCTGATTTATGTGATTGCAGGACAGTGTGCCTAAAGGAGCAAGGCTGAAAAAAACACTGCTGACACTGTTATATGTAAAGTATGGTTATTTCCTAATGTGTCTTTTTCAGTCGTTATAATTCTAAAAGATTATTACCTTCAAATCCACAACTTGGTTTAATGGCCTTTACCCCACCCCAAACTGCAAGTACTCACTTGGCATTTTTTTCAACAAAAGCAATTTGGCTCCTTATTTGAAAATCAGACCCTAATAAAAAAATTGCCTTCTTAAATTCCCATGGTGCAATGGTAACAGTGTTTATATATTCCAATTGTATGTTAATGGGCTGCAGGATTGGTCATACCATTTCTTACAGAAAAATGGTTGTGTGTTGAATCCCAGTCTGGGGTCTGTTTGCATGTTCTCCTTATGGAATGCTTTGATTCTTTGAAAAGTAAGAACAAACAAGCTCAATAAGATAAGGACTCCAGGAACATTTTGATGCAAGCCTGTGTTGCTAAATATTGTACCACATTGTATATCATTTGCAATATCAATATATTTTAATTTGCATCATTCCTTTTTTTTTTGTTCCTTCAATTCTTGCTTCATTGGTTGTGGCTCCTTATTCTGTAAAATCCCAACATCTCTTACATCAAATGAAATGAAAGGTCCGACAGTAAAAGCATTGTTCTTAGTTTTTCTTTTAATCAATTCTTCATGCTGAACTGGTTTGGTGGAATGTTTAAAAATTACAAATTGCGAACAAAGATTACCGGATACATTTCTTTGAAACTTAGTAGAATTCATCTTTCTGATGCTAACTGTTTTTCATATTTCAGCACAGGGATGTGCTGATTATGAAATTCTAAATCACCTCAACCTCACCAGCGACAAAGTCATGTACACCATGGGTCGGCCAACCAGAAATAATAACCGCCCTCTTATGGTGGTTATTACACTAATGCCTTTGGCCATTTTGGATGTGGTAAGTTCTTCATAGGTCTTTTTTTTTACTTGTTGTATTTCTACTGTATAAAATATTCAAGAGACATTTACAACTGTCTTCCACACACTTTAAGTAAGTAAGTAAGTGACTAAGTAACTTGTTTACCCTAGTACACACTGCGAAATACATAACGGGAACATGTAAACAACACAACATAACTTCAATTAAATCAAACTTTTGTGAAATCAAACTGTCCACTTAGGAAGCAACACTAATTGAAAATAATTTTCAAATGCCATTATGCAAATTGAATATACAATAAAGTTATTATTATTATTGGTGATTAGCAAGATGCACTTAGTAAAGGAGTGGTTCTACAGTTCGAGACCACAGACCACTTTTCAGTGCCTATGCTTTCTGGCTGTTTTCATCATTTTTGAATGTTGGTGGTGCTTTCAAACTCTTGGTTGCTTCAGACAGACTACAATCCAAACAAGTGGCTTAGTGCAGCTCATTCAGGATGGCACATAAATGCGAGCTGTTGCAAGGTTTGCTGTGTCTGTTAGCTTAGCGTTTAGAGGCTGGAGGGGCTACCATATGAGACAGGCCAGTACACCAGGAGATGTGGAAGAAACTGTAGGAGGGCAATCACCCGGCAGCAGAACCACTACCTCAGCATATCTGCAAGGAAGAACAGGAGGAGCACCTCCAGGACAAATGTGCATGTGTCTGCCAAAACAGGTAGAAACCGACTCCATGAGGATGGTATGAAGGTCTGACATCCACAGACGGGGGTTTTGCTTACAGCCCTACAACATGCAGGATGCTTGGCATTTGCCAGAAAACACCAGAATTGGCAAATTCACCACTGGCGCCCTGTGCAGATGCTTTAGTCCAGGTCTGTGAGGAGATCCCTCAGGAGACTATCTACCTCATCAGGAGCATGGGCAAGCATTGTAGAGAGGTCATACTTGCAACTTTCTATGCCACTGACCCGGGAGCAGTCTCACAGCTCTGCTCTCATTCTTGAAGGAACACAAACAGTTTTGTGGCAGCCCAATGTAGGTTACTGGCATTGTCAGTCACCCTATGCTGTGCTGCTAACACTACTGGAATATAGATAGATATGCAAAGTGTACCATATCTGATATATACGTGTGTGTGTGTGTGTGTGTGTGTGTGTGTATGTATGTGTATGAATGTATGTATATGTACGTATATATATGTATGTGTATGTATATATATGTATTAGGGATGGGACGATTTATGAAAACCGTCCGAACCGTTCAGTTCAACTGTCTCGGTTCGATGTGCGTGTGTTTCGTTCGGTTCATGCGCTGCTCAACAAGAAGAAGAAGAAGCGAAGCAGCTTAGCCGGGTGTACTGTAGCAAGGGAAAAAATCTGTTGTTTTGAGAATTGTGTGGGTATGGCGAGTGGGAAAGAACAGGAGCTGGAAGACGTGCCAGCAGCACTTTATAGGTCTGCTGAATGGGAGCGCTTTGCATTTAGAGTGACCTACGATGACGGCGGAAAGAAAGTTGTGGATAAAAGTGCAACAGCGTGCAAGCATTGTGCAACA